CATAATCGATTCTAGCTCCGGTGGCGGAACATAGTATGCATAGGTTTCATATAGACCCCCACATAATGGTACCTCCCATATTCGGTATTTTGATTATTTTTGCCACAATTTTCCACGGATTTATTAAAATTGAATACTGAACACGATACCTATAATTCATGGAGTCTAACACGATTACCTCGAAGAGTTACAAAAGAAAAACTATGCTCATTCTCCATCGCCTTGCAGGGTACATAATTTGGAGTGTATTATTCAAACCAAAAAAATTATTAAAAAAATATAAAAAAACATTTTGGAATATTTAAAAATGTTGCTTGCTATGTTCTTGCTTTAAACTTTTCTAAGTTACGTTTATTTTTTATTATTAATATGTATATATAATTATTTAAATATATTTATACTTAATGTATATTATATATTTTGCTTTCTTTTTTTATATTTAAAGTTTATATTAAAGTTATGTTATTTTATGTTAAATAAAGCGAAATATTTCAATGCTCTTTTTTTTTTTTTGCTTATCTGAGAATAAAAACTTTTTCAAAACAGCATTTTTTTAAACAATTAAACTACTAATACTTTTCTTTATTTTTATTTATTCTTATGACCTGTTGTTATTTTGTAAATATATGTGTATGTATGCATGTATATTTCTTGTAGAGTATTTCTATAATTTTTATTTTAAGTTGTAAAAGTGCCGGTTTTTTAAATTTTACAAGTTTTCGGTTTTTGTTATCTAAAATGAAAAGTATAGGTTAAAATATTTATATGAGATTTTTTTTCGGCTAACAACTACTATTTGCAAAATCTTTTATTACATCATATATAGTATGTGCATTGGGATGGGTCGAAAAAAAACACAGAAGTTTTTATATTAATTACAAATTTTAAAATATTTAAAAAAATCGCAACATCAGTTTTTCTGTCAATTTAAAAATATTAAAAAAATAAAGTCTTTCACTTTTTTGCCGACCCACCCCATGTTAATCTTTCTTTATATCATGTATACAGCATAAAAATCGTGCAGGTATTTAAAATTATGGAAATTATAGTTTTCCGGAAAATTGAATCCAAGACAAAGTGAACACTGAGGCTTAGCAAGGGGAGAGTTCCATCTGGTTTTGGCAATGACTCACCTAAACTTGACGTTACTATTATATCCTAGTCTCAGTAAGTTCAGTCAATCCAAAAAAAAAAACAAGTAAGCAAAGGCTACAGTCGAGCGGGGCCGACCGTTGAATACCCTACAACACTATAATAAACGATACAGTTTATATAGGCGAGATACTCGAAAGAATTCCACAAGATATTGTGACAAATAATAAAAGAAAATCATCAGGTTTCGTTCTCTAATTTTCGTATAATAGCAACTTAAACTAATTTGCTCATTTCCAATTTATTGGTAGATGTTGCACGTAAATGGTCTTCCTAGATCTGGAACCAATATTTCCCAAAGACCTATAATCTCTAAGAAGTGGCAAAAGATTAACATTTATTATTGCTTTTTGACTGAAACGCATCTATATGAGACACAGCCATTTGACTATATTCTTCAACGAAATCAGCGTTAACGAAATAGTCAGAAGTGCGTCTTTCCTGTATTTGTGAATTCTCCAAAAAGTCACTGGAATGGACATTTTCGTATTTTGTCTATAAAAGTTGGCAAACTCCTTCACACATTGAATATTTTTGGATGACCATCCAAAACTGCTTGGCTTTTGCAATGTCCGGTAACCCCCATAATTACGACCTGCTGACAATTTTGCAGTTTTTTGGTCCATTTCAACCCCTAAATATATGGCGATCATCTCCAAAAGGAATAGGCTTTTATTCTGACCCTCATCTTACCTCCATGCAAAATTTCGTAAGGATCGGGCCATAAATGCGATCTGTATATGATATCCTGATATCCTAACTACTTAGTTTTGTTAGCTGTAGAAATATTACCAAATGTTTAATTCAAAATGAAAATATGCCAAAAATATGACAAAATGGAAAAAATATGAGAAAATTTTACAAAATCAATATTTTCATCTTTAGAGAGAGATTTTTATGCGATTTTTTTAGACGTTTTATGTTTCCTGCCAAGAGGCCATTCTGAATTAATGAGAACTGTCGAAATCAGTTCAGCCGTTCTCGACATATAAGAGATTTTTCAAGCATATCTTCTTTGATAAACATATATATCGCACATATTTTGCTATATATCCGTTTTGTTGGATGTTAACATCAATGTAAAGATCAGAAGTAACCTTGTCATGGCTTTGTGATTTCGCTGGGATTTAAAATATTCGCGGTTTAATGAAAAATTTTGAATTTTTTCAACAAAAAAGATATGGTCTATTTTACCCGCTAAATATTATCCGATGACCACCCAAATGGGTAGGCTTCTTGCCAGCCCTAAACTCTAGCTACATGCGAAATTCCGCGTCGATTGGTCTATAATTGCGACCTGTAGAGCAAGTGCAAAATCAGGAATTTTTTCAGTTTTTGGTCCATTTCAACCCCTAAATATTATGCGATCATCACCAAAAGAAATAGGGTTCTATTCTGACCCTAGCCCCACCTCCATTTTAAATTTCGTGAAGATCGGACCATAATTGCGACCTGTAGAGTGATTACAAATTAACATGGACAGACGGACGGACGGACATACATAGCTAGATCGACTCAGCTCGCCGAGATAGGAAGATCCATATTTACTTTCCTATGTGGGAAATCAATATTTCGTGGTGTTACATAATTTTTGGCCCAATCAAACTTATAATACCCCCAACACATAGTGTTGTAGGGTATAAAAACACCAGGAACACTCAAACCGGAATTATGTTGAGGTTTTTTGCCACGAAGACCAAAATTCAACTTTTGGACTTTTTCAATTCTTCGAATTTTGCATTTAACAAAAAAATCCACTTTACTTTTTTGCCCAATCAGATAAAAATTGGCAACCAGTTGGCCTAAATGCTTTTTCCACCCATTCACCACATGGATAGGAGAGATGAATAATGGACGATGAAAAATTTATTCAGACCACCAACAACAGCAAGTTTCTTGGCGTCACATAGCCTCTTGAGAAGTTGGCAAAAGTTCCTCAAGGATGGCGTTGTCATAAAGTCTTCAGGTTCCATGCGCAACAGGCGTCCAAATATAGTCAATGACCCAACGTTTCAAACTGCGTCGGAGAATATTATGTCCGGCGACTTAATGAAATAGCTTCGATAAATAAAGTCGCAGGAGCTCTCTGGCTCAGAGCCTTCAAAACAAGCTGTTGATACATTTTACAAGAACTTAATAGAGTGTGAAGATTCGAGAAGAATCGACTTACTCTACCTAAATTATATCCTGGTTTCAGTCCTATCCCGGTCCCAGCGGTCGACCTCGAATATAATAACAACTACCTGACAATAACGCACCGGTATGTGGTATTGCCGCCTCACCCGCAAATCCAACTGCAAGCTCACAATTTTTACACGAAGATTACTCTTAACTCTATTGTTTTATGTGAGAGACCTCTCAAGTCTCTCTCACCGATTGAAAAAATAAAGTATGTTCGATTTCTTTTTTAGAAGCACTACCGCTGTTAAAACAGAGAAAGCGTATCATGGAGAAAACTAGCCAAGAGCCAGCAGAGCTATACGTTATAGTGAAGGGAGGAAGAAAAAGGAGATGTAGGGTCGCGTCCTCTGCATCCAGCCAGAAAGCTGATGCCAAGAAGGTTAACAACACCCCGCCATCTGCCAATTCTGTTCTTCTTTATCAGCAAATGGCTCGGAATTATGGAAAAAGCTGACAGTGAAAGGAAGATCAGTGACAGTTATTGGCTTATGAGAGATTATTGTAATGTGAGTTTATTGTAATGGCAAAACCTCCAAAATACTCGCTCGAATTCGAGTGGATAGTAAAAATTGCCCAAATTCGAGCTGAAGTACTCCTGCGTTTACCACGCGAATGAGAGGGAGTATGTTTTGCTCATTTTTTAAATGAGTCTAAAATACACTCAAAATCGAGCAGATTCTACTTTTGACGAGTATTTTTATACCCCTCCACCATTCTATGATGGGTATATTAGCTTTGTCATTCCGTTTGTAACTCCTCGAAATATTCATGATAGACCCTGTCCGTCTGTCTGTTGTAATCGAACGAATTGAGATATTTTGTATTTTGCCAGTAAGCAGGTGTCGGTTCACGTTTTCGTATAGCACCCATATAACGGTACTTGCCAAAATTCGGTATTTTGTTGATTTTAGCGACACAGTTCACCCGAATTGTTTCAAATTTTGTATTCGTATTTTGAAAGGGGTACTACGTCTTCGTATATCCACTATATAACAGTACTTCCCGATATTCGATATTTTAATGATTTTAGCGACACGATTCACCCGAATTGTTTCAAATTTCATTTCGTATTTTGAAAGGGGTACTACAGCCTATGCCTAAAAGGCATGCATCTTCACGTCTTCGCATAGCCTCTGTATAAAGGTCATCATTTACATGGTATGTGCTACTACATACACACACGAACACACAATCGATTTTGCACTTAGAGTAAACTCTTATCCTATAAAATCGGAGCTCTGAGTAAAACTAATTAAAGAAGGAAATACAAAATTCGCTCTAAGAAATTTTATTTACCCAGAAAGATTTGTGTCTGTGATGATCCCCAGAAAGTTGCGGAAAGCAACCCATTATGGGGTAGGTATTTTTTTCCTGATTTTCGGCAAAGTAATTTTTTTCGTGAGGGAAATACCAATACATATGGCACCATTTTGGAAAGGCATGAGTATGGGCTATAATGTATATCTTAAAACCCTTAATGGATCTATTTTCGAATTTTTAGTGATTTTTCAAAAACTTCCGATACAAAACTACCAATCCCAGCATAGCATCTAAATTCAACTTAAGCGTTGTTTTCTTTTTGTCCGTAAAATTTTCAGACATAATCCCCACAGCAAACGGTCATATTCCTATGGAGATTATGTTCGTTTTGGAAGCGGACATAACCCCTATTTATTTTGGGGATCATGACCGAAACAACTGAACATAAAAGCATAATTGCAATAGGGATTATGTCCGGGCACCCAACATATCAACCACTTAGAAGCTTGCAATCTAAAATGAAACAAATCTTTTAACACTATGTCTCAAATCTTATGAAAGAGAAAATGATTCCTTATTTTTAAAATTCTCCATAATTTTAAATGCACACTTAATTGTTCTCAGATTTACTTGGATTTAAAATATGTTGAAAATGGGTTTCTCCATCGCTAGTAAATATATAATCTGAGTGCAATATTTTTTTTTTAAATTATTGTATATATAGTTATAATTTTTTTCATGATAATTTATCAATTAAAAGAACACTTTGACCAATATGCTTAAAACGTTATAATTACATGTTACTTGGTTTTCAGAAAGTTTTTGTTTTTTTTTTTTTTTTTTGCTTTTTATTTTTTCCAACTGTTGCAACTACTTTTTTTCGTTTTTATAAATATTTAGAAGATATTTCCATGTAGAAATACTGCATAATTTATTTATGTAAATATGTTTAGTTACCTTATCCTTTTTTTGCTTTCATTACATTGCTAAACATATGCATGCCTCTATTTACGTTAGCATGTGTGTGTATATTAAGATTATTTTTTGGTATATGAATATATTATGTAATTATATATTTGTGGGTTTTTATTTTCAAAACAATAAACTGAGATGAGTCTTAATGTTTTTATATGGAAATGCCACCATCCGGTTTATTTTTTAATAAGCAATCTACAGTTTCCATATTTTCTATTATTTCAAAGGAATTTTTAAACAAATTAAATAACACAAATAAAGTGTAGATTTTATAAAAATAATAACCAGTAAGGAAAGGTCAAAGGTCGGAGGCGGAGCCCGACGTATATGATACCCTACACCACTATGCGTATTTAGTAGAGTATATTGGGAATGTATGTGAGGTAGATCATGCCACCTATGAACCAAATAACATTACGGTATAGTGCATGATATGACTTCGGTAAGGAGAATATTAAAAAATAGAGCAATGGGTATACCGGACGGAGTGCCACCAAATGGTAAAATTCATTTTGGGCTGACATTACATATATGGTGAGCAATAACCGTAAAAAGAAGATATATATATCGAAGCTATATAAAAATCTGAACCGATATGAACCGACCGATGCATATTACGCATGTGAGTGACATAAAACCCCAAATCGGATGAAACATATATATGGGAGCTAAAGCTATATCTGAACCGATTTTCAATAAATTTGAAATACTTGTTTCTAGATGAATTCAGTCGGAATTGCCGAGATTCAGTTCATTTAGGCTGATATTAGCCATTTTGGTCCACAAAAAAACCTGAAATCGGATGAAGATATATATGGGAGGTATATCCTAATCTGAACCGATTTTGACAAAATTTGAAACACTTATTTCTGAGCTGTATCTGATATCCGGTACCACAGATTATTGTTGTGGAATGCATATTTCGCATGTGAGGGACTTAAAAGCCCAAATCGGAAGAAACATATGTATGGGTGCTATAGCTATATCTGCACCGATTATCAGCAAAATTGAAGTACTTGTTTCTAGGATCAATTAAGTCGGATGTACCAAAATTCAGGTCATTTGGGCTGATATCAGCCATTTTGTGCACAAAAACCCTGAAATCGAATGAAGATGTGTATGGGAGTTATATCCAATTCTGAACCGAACTTGACACAATGTTAGGCACTTATTTCTAATGTGGGAGCTATAGCTATATCTGATCCTTTTTTCATTAAATTTGAAGTTCTTGCTTCTAGACTGAATTCGGTCGAATGTGCCAAAATTCAGGTCATTTAGACTGATGTTGGCCATTTGGTGCGTAATTAACCCGAAATCGGTTAGATATATATGGGAGCTATATAGAAATTAGAGCCGATTCTCACCAATTTCAACAGAGTTCGTCCTTGGGCCAAACAAATCTTGTTGGGAAATTTTCAACTTAATCGGATTATAAATGCGACCTGCATTTTGTTCACAAAAATAAATGGACAGACGGAGGGACGGACAGACCGACTGACAAGCATAAATCGACTTAGAAAGTAATTCTATGAACACCATCAAAAGTAATTATGGGTCTACCTCTCTTCCTCCTCCATGTTACAAACAAGTGCATAAAGTCATAATACCCTGACCACTATGTGGTGTAGGGTTAAAAATTAAGAAAATCAGTTCCATTACACTCCATGCTTACAAAGCTGAGCAGAGAAGGTCCTTAGATCTCAGTATAGGAAATCCAAATATCACAAATCAATTGATATTCTCAGTGAAAATCGAATGATCTTCCCATTAAAGAACAACAGGAGTTCTATTCGATTTTCAATGGATATTCTGGTCAAATGTTCTCTGTGTTCTCTGAGAGAAAGAATATCTATTACAAAATAATTTATGATGTCACTAGGAAATGTAAGCACTTTTGGTTTAAAATTTATATTCGTAAATTAAATTTTTAATAAAATAAAATTTTAAATTTTAAAATAAATGTTGGAGTTTATATCCTTAAATTTGATATTTTGTTATTATTAGTAATTACTATATTTATATAGTTAATGTATGTTATTATATTTATATCTATGTGATTTTTATTATTAATTTATTTTATGTATATATACTTTTTTTTGAAAATGAGGTAAAAATGTTATTTCGTTATTATCATTATATTAATGTGTTTGTGTGTGTGTATGTGTTCGTGTGACTGTTATATTTATAATAAAAACTGATATAACTGCAATTGATTTGATTAAAAATGGATGTCTGTGCGTATGGATGATTTTGAAATTTTCTTCTACATTTTTAATTTTCAAATTTATTATTTTTCTCTTTTGTATAATATAGTTATTCTGATTACTTTTTCCTTTGCTCCGTCTATATATTTCATATTTTTCATTATATTTATATTTATTTATTTTAAAATCACTACTATTGTTTTTGTTTTTATTTTTCAAAGACGCAATATGTTTGTTGTTGTTTATTTTTCTTTAGTTAGCTATGTATGCATGTATCTTTATAAGTTTCTATATAGTTTTTATTTTCATTCTTTATTATTTTTTATTTACAGGTTTGATATTGTTCTATTTCATTAAGATTTCGTTTTAGATGTCAAAGTGTGTGTGTGTTTTTGAAAACAAATTTTCAATAAGAACTTCTACTTTTGTTTGGAATTAAAAATAAATAATTATTTACACTCTACGTCATTTTGTTAACATTCGGATTAAACAAAATAAATAAATACTAATGAAATATGGCCAATAATCACTGTTTTACCAATGTCATATCAATTGGAACTGTGAATATTTAGAAGTAGAAGACCTCTAGGTCATCTATAGTTCATTGAAGACCTCCAGGTATAGAAGAGCATAAAAGACCTCCGGATCTTCTATAGAGCATAGAAGAACTCGGGACCATCTATAGAGCATAGAAGACCTCCGAGTCTTCCATATAGCATAGAAGACCTCCGAGTCTTCCATATAGCATAGAAGAACTCCGAGTCTTCCATATAGCATAGAAGACCTCCGAGTCTTCTACATAGCATAGAAGACCTCCGGCTCTTCTATATAGCATAGAAGACCTCCGGGTCTTCAATAGAGCATAGAAGACCTCCGGCTCTTCTATGGAGCATAGAAGACCTCCGGCTCTTCTATGGAGCATAGAAGACCTCCGGCTCTTCTATGGAACATGTTTTGTATGGAGCATAGAAAACCTCGTGGTCTTCTACAGGGTGAGATGAAAAAACTGTAACCAACTTAAGACTGCTGTCATTTCTAAGCCACTCGTCTTACAGCTGTTAAAATTATTCCAGTGACAGCTCATTATATTGTTTACAAGCGTACAAAAGCATTATGGTCAGAATTTTCCAGAAAAAAAGTTATTCGTGATGGAATTCAAGCGTGATAGAGTGATTTCTTTATATTTGGCTGGAAAACCACAAGAGGCTATCGTTAGAGCACTTCAGCATTTAAATGTGAATAAATCAACAACAGCAACAGAAAGAAAATAGACTCAAAAGAACTAAAGAGTTGCTTCGCTTGGCCGAAAATGGTGAACTGTCGAATTCGTTTTTCTCCGATGAGAAAACATTCGTTGTCCGGCAGTTTGTAAACAAACAAAATGTTCGTGTTTACTTTCCAAAGAGGTCAGCTGAAAATGTGGACCTTCGGTTGGCCACCAGAACTCTAGTGCCGCCAAAACAGCCGATGGTCGATCTCCGCTCGTATAATCGAACGAATATTATCGCGAAAATATTCTGGAGGTTGTATTATAGCCAACAACAGGACTCAGCACCATCGCACTCAGCACACGCCACCCAAGATGGGTTACAAATTAAGGTTCCTCGCTTCATTTCCTGCGCATAATGGCCACCAAAATCTCCGGATACCAATCCGTTGGACTATTGTGTCTGGAGTATTTTGGAAAGCATAAAAATACCAAAGTGTCGATCACCTCAAGCAAGCGCTTCGCCGGGAATGGACCAAAATACCACAGAGCAACATTCGGGCAGCGTGTGACGGTTTCATTGGCCGTTTGAAGGCCATAATTCGTGCCAAAGGTAACCTATTCGAAGAAATCTAAACTTATTCTAAAGTTTGATGCTATTTCCGACATTTTTTGCTTTCATTCGATAAAATTTAGCAAGGGTATTTCTGACTTGTATTTCATATATTTCCCCAAATATCGTTGTTACAGAGTCTATATTATGGCTGCGGAGGATAAAAATAACAAATCGAATGAACAATATATATGGGAGCTATATCTATATCTGAACCGATTTCGATCAAATTTGGCATACTTATTTTCACGTCCAATCTGGTCGTACGTGCAAAATTCCATACTATTCGGGCTGATATTACACGTTTGGAGCACAATAAAAGACAAATCGGACGAAGATATATATGGGAGATATACCTTAATTTTGACCGATTAACTCCAATTTCAATATAGTTCGTCCTTAGGTCAAACAAATTTTTTGTGCAAAATTTCATCTGAATCGGGCAATAAATGCGACCTGTACTTTGTTTACACAAATGCATGGACAGGCGGACGAGAGACAGGTGGACAGACAG